ATAAGATAGTCACATGTCAGCTGTGTACATGTAAAGTGGAAATATCATCTTTTACCACTTAAACAGTTACATTTTGATTTTTCTAGGGTGGTAACTACACCTAATTTAATTACTTCTTCCTGTGAGTCATAAGTAAAAGAATGGGGCAAAAAGTGGAACCAGAAGGGAAAAGCATCTTATATGTGCACTAAAAGCTATAATTCTCAACTCTCTTTTCCCAGCAATGCACGGCTGTTTAGAGGCAGTAAAGGTGCTTCTTGAGAGGTAAGAACAAAACAGCAAATTGGGGAAAATATTTATCAGTTATAACAAAGATTAATAGTGGTGCTATGTAAAGAGCTGAGACAAATTGTTAAGAAACAAGTCCTAAGTCTGATGAGCGTTGCAGGAATTACAGGATCCTCGTAGGAGCTTAGAACAGGAGACCTAACTTGGCCTAGGAGTAAGGAATCTCAGCACCAGCTATGTTCAAGCTGTGACCTGAAGGAATAGAAATTAGCTGAAAGTGGGAGGCAAAGGAACATTCCAGACAGAGGTACCAGCATCTGTGACGCTCTGAGCCAGGCACAGGCATAGTACATTTGAGAAACTGAAAGAAAGTCAGAATGTGCTGAAGCCTACACAGAGAAGGGGAGAGTAGACGCTGTAGACCATGTTAAGGATTTTCAGATTTTATTCTGAGTTTAGAAGATGCCAGTGGAGGGTTTTAAGAGAGGGGTAATAAGTTTGCAGTTTTCAAAGATCATCTATCCTCTGGTTGCAAAATAGAGAATGGAGTGGAAGGATAGCAGGAAGGTGCCATAAAACCATTTGGGGTGCTGTTGCAGGGAAACAGGAGAAACGAGGGTAGCTGGACCGTGGAGACGACTGTAGGGATGAAGAAAAAGACATGGAGATGTTAAGGAAGTAGAATCAACTGGGCCAGGTGGAAATTCGATGAAGGGGATGAGGAGGGAGGAGAAATCAGGATGACTTGCAGGTTTCTAGCACCTGGTGCTGGTGCCATTTACTGGGATGTGGAACACTGGAGGAGGAGCAGGTCTGGGGGGAGGAGCTGAGAATTTCACTTTTGGACACGTTGAGTTTCATGTGCCTTTGAGATACCCAAGCGAAGACGGCAGCAGGCAGTTAGAGACACAGATGGGCCGAGGTGATGATGCGGGGCTCATCGACACAGAGAAGGTGATTGAGGCCAGAGGAGTGGGAGAAGTGGCCAGGAGACGACGTATACAAACGGGAACATGCTTGCATGTCTGCAGATTCACAAATCTTCTTTCCTTCCTTTAAAACACATTTTTTGAGTACCTCCTGTGTGTTAGGTTCTGGGTGATAAACATAGTCGTTTCTCTAGAGGAGCCTGTAGGCTGTGAGGAGGATGAGCATAGACGAATAATCCCACAGATAAATATCTAATTACAAATTGCAGTAAGGCTGCAAAGGAGTAGTACAGAACGCTGTGAGAGAGCAGAGCCCTCGTGTGGACGGGGAAGAGGCAAGGCTTGTTGAGATCACATTTAAGGTGAGACTTGGAGGTGACCAAGGGAAGAGTGGACAGTCATGTTCCAAGCAGAAC